GGAGATTTACGGAGGCTGCGACGGTGCAAGATGCCACTGCTGCGCTCCTGAAGACAAGAAAGGTGAGTCCATTATTGGTAACAATATATATATATACATGTACATATATATATACCTATATATGGATATAAATACATATATATATATACACACACACACACACACACACACACACACACACACACACACACACACACACACACACACACACATATATATATATATATATATATATATATATATATAACATATATAAAGCTTCCATATAAATGATCCCTAGAAATAAAAAAATAGGTATCTGAACTTAAACGATTGAAATGTAAAATAAGAGAAGCCTAGAATCAACATTCTTAAGAATTTAAATGTTTAAATAGACAACTTTTTTCTTTTCCTTTTCCTAGAATGCAAACCCAAGAAGCAATGTAAGTGGAAAGGCAGATACTGCACGACGGGAAAATGCAAAAACAACGAAAGGGTAATAAAACGCGCTTGTCAAGGGAAGAAATGCCGCTGCTGCGCCCTGGTCGAGGTGAATATAGTGACAATAATGAAATTACGTGTCTCATTTTTATCATTATCATTATCACTGTTGTCTTGTATGATTTTTATTTATCTATTTGCTTGGTTATTATTATTATTATTATTTTCATTATTTATTTATTTTTATTTTTACTGGTATTCCAATTACTGATATTATCATTCTGTGACTAGAGCTATAGGCATAACAATTATCTTTCTGTCGATATATATTGTTCTGTTCGATATCTTACATGTACAGATAATTATAAATAATCAAAAAATAACCAAAGAAATTGTATTTTTCCCCAGTTTGCAAGAGGAAGACTAAATGCAAGGAGAACAAGGGTTCCTGCAGACAGGGCCGTTGCAAGAGCTACGAGAAGGAAATATACGAGGGTTGCAAGGGCCTTCGCTGCCGGTGCTGCGCTCTCGACATGGGTAAGCGTGGGTGGTGTTCCGATGAATATTCTTGCTATTTATGATTTGCTGTTGATGGCATTCGAACCCGGAAAAAGCAAACACAAAGTTATCACCACCGCCATCAACAACGACATTAACAACAAAAACAATAAAAAAAAAAAAAAAAAATGCACACACAAATCACACACAGCATATCTTGCATGTTTCCCATACTTTCATCCTTGATTGGTAAGAAGCTTCCGGTATTTTCCCGACTGTCTTTGTTTTATAGGAATGACACTAAAGGATTAATGTTGATGTTGCTTAAACTAAAATTCATGGCAACGATTTCATTCGCTAAAGATTTTTTCTCCTTTAAAACCTTTGTTCATGTCGTGAGTTGACAAATATTTTAGATTTATCGATTATAGTAAATTTGGATTCATGTTTGGCCTCAATTGATTTCATCTGACATTAAACCTTACTGCAGCCTGCTTATTCAGACTAATCCAAAGTTACCCTCGATCTTCATAACTTTTCAGTAACAAACACAACAACAACAACAGCGCCAGTGACAACAACAGCGCCTGTGACAACAACAACAGCGCCTGTGACAACAACACCAGCGGGAACAACATAAATCCCACCTCTGCACGACAAGGCGGAACCGGACGAAGATTTGCAGAACCAGCGACAGAGGCTCATGTTCCCGTCAAATCTAAAGCACTGTCATGTTCCCTTCTTTGCAATTTCTTAATGTGAAATTCCTATGAGGCTGAAAATTGCTTGCATTTTTTCTTGTAAATTTTGAACTCGAAATTACCTATTGTTACAGAAGGATTAATATGTTGACTATTGCAATAATTCAATCAAGGAAGACAACGAATCCTTCGTTTCCATTACTTACGTGTTATTTTTCTAAAATAAACTGTGGGCACCCTTTTGTCTTGTGGCTATTGTGTGACTTGCACTGCATAATATTGATTTTTGTTGCCCTTATTATCTAACAACTCTATGAAATATATGAGTAATATACCAGAGAAGAATTCACTAGAACTACTGGAGACTATGAAATCAATGCAAATGCATTTAACTCGATTTCTGCAAGATGGGTGAAAAACGCCGAAAAAAAGACCAGGCCCCGTTCAGACGAGCGATTTTAGTGGTCCGACTGCTCGAAGCGCGATTATTGAGTGATTGTTCACACACGCTTTCAGTGGCCCTAGTCGTCTCTCCCTTTTTTTTTCCTCTTCAGTCGCTGATCATACACAGCTGGTAATGGATTAGAAGAGGTGGCATATGCATGGGTTTTATATCGTCGTTTGAAGTAGCGGAAGAGGAGACATAGACGTTATTGGGTTCATCCTATCTTAAATGACAGACTTACCCATAGAATGTTCTTCACATTGTATCCAAAGTTACAAGAACATGAACCCAAGTTATTTAATTACATGAGAATGTCCATCAAATCATTTGACAATCTGCTCTAACAAATACAGGATGACAGGCTGGGGAAAGCAGAAGTGACTGTCACCCGTCTGTCTGCCTCCGCTCCACATGATGTTCTCACTGTCTAATCCCA